CCACATAAATCTTAACTGCGGCGGGCATTTTGGCTTAACCGAGGCGGGCAAGCCAACCACCTCGGTGCAAAGGTCACGGTTAATCGTAGCATTAACCAAGGTTAATCGATTAACCGAGGCGGGCGGCATAAGACAATCGTCTTGGTTAATAGAATGAAAAAAAAAAAAAAACAGAGCCCACCGGTGAGCCCAATCCCAAGCCCCAGAGCCAGATCCACGCCCACGCCAACACCAGCCACCCTCCCTGCTCCCGACGCGGCGGCGTCCAGATCTGCCCTAGCTCCAGTCCTGCCACCGGATCTACCTCTGCTCCATCGGATCTGCCTCTACTCCACTGGATCTGCAAAAGGGGAGAGGGGTGAGTGAGGGAGATGAACATGAGAGATGAACAGGTGGATCTCCAAATCTATGGATCTGGGCCACCGCGTGGCCCGTGCGCCACCAAGCCGCGCTCGCCACCGCGCGCCTCTCGCCGCGCGGCCACAGCGTCCCCGTACCGCACCGCGCGTCCGAGAGAGGGAGGGAGTGCTGGAGAGAGGGAGGGAGGCACCAGGAGAGAGGGGGCGCGTGCCGGGAGAGTAGGAGGGAGGGAAGGAGCGACTGAGATGGTGAGAAGTGGATGAACGACGCATTTTATACTAGGCCCTGTAGCGGGCTACTGATGGGCCTCGGAGCTAGGCTAGTATTTTCGAAGGTGGGCCTTATAAGACGCCCACCTCCGAAAATTGATTAACCAAGGCGGACAACCTAACGCGTCCGCCTCAGTTAATATCAATTAATCGAGATGATTGCGTTAGGGCAACCGCCTCGATTAATAAGCATTAACCGAGGCGATTTCTTTACAGTGCCCACCTCGGTTAAGCATTAATTGAGGCGGTTGCTGGCCTGGCTGTCTTGCCTCGAATAACCGAGGCGGGCAACCAGGCCAACCGCTTCGAAGCCCCAAAGTGAAACGATGTGCAAAAGATTTTCTGTAGTAGTGATCGCTGAACTTCAAGCTGCAAAGCCAACTCAGGCAGTAAAGGCGCAAGTTCAGAGTCAAAGACCACGGTGGTTGCCGCCACCAACAGGTTGCATGAAGGTGAATGTAGATGCGGCAATTTCTAAGAATATGAGAAGGGCATAAGTGGTGGCGATAGCCCGTGATCCGGCCGGTATTTTTTTTTGGAGCTTTGGGGGTGGTTCTTGATGGAATCACTGAACCAAAAATTGCCGAGGTGATGGCCCGTAGAGAAGGACTTGCTTTGGCGGCTGATCTAATGTTAACTTCAGTACGGTTGGCATCGGATTGTGCCAATGCTGTCAAAATCATGGAAGGAAGAAATATAAGTCCATATGGCCAAATCGTGAAGGAGATTCAGACCAGGGCTCATGATTTTCTTTTGGTTGATTTTGTCCATGAGAATAGGAAATCAAATGTTGATGCTCACACTCTAGCTAGGAGTTTAATTTCTTTTGATACAGGCAGACGTGTCTAGTTTTTAGAACCGCCTTTTGACAGTTGTAATTCTGTTCACCAAGTGCATCAATAAAGAGGGCGGTGATTTCTAAAAAAAAGTGAGCTGCCTGTTTATGCGTGAAATGTCTGACAATTACATGTCCTTGTGTTATATTAATATATCTATTAATCACCAATTATGCATGTTAATGTGTTAACACATATGTCATCAAGTGAATATTAGACCAATCTTCATGCGTGTATATTGTTGGGTAACTTTATACATGCATACTTGAGAATATTAGATCACGTGATCTTAACTTAACTTTTCGGCTCTCCATTCGTATTTGTCTGTTTTTGTTTGTGACTTTTTCGAACCTAATCCTGTTTATTTCAAAAAATTATAGAAAACAAAAACATGAGGGGGTTTTCCACCCATTTTCATCCGCTTTCATCTCTACTCATTGTAGCCATCATCGAAGTCATTGCAGGTAACAAACTCCTGACCAAAATCATTTGATTTTGTTGGTAAATTTGTTTGGACTAAACCAAAGTAAACTAGATTAAAAAAATAATGTAAAAAAAAAATAGCTCCCCTCTTCTTACCGCTTCTTACTGCCTGGGCGACGACAGCTAGAGACCTGAAGGGGTGACGACGGCTGTTATCCCAATCTGAGTTTTTTCTCCAATTCCAAGTTGCACCCAGCATCGTACCTTTCGCATATATAACTTCGATAACGATCACGTCCGTTATTTTCCATTGGTGGACGACTAAAACCTCGCAACAAAGGCACTTGAAAATGTCACCACTAACGTTTGTAGACTTCTATGTTGAGGGCAGGATACCGCTACAAGCAAGACTTAGGTTCTATTTGAATTCATGGGGCTAATAGAGTTAGCTGCTAGAATTAGCTCCTTTGAATCTAAATAAGTTCAGCTATTAGTTTAGCTAATTATTAGTTGAATATCCAGCTAACAACCATCTCATTGCTTGGACCAAATAAACCAACTAAAAACAACTAATAGTCAACTAGCTAATATTAGTAATGAACTATTAGCTAGTTAACTATTAGCAGCTAACGCCAGTTTCAATCTGAGACTCTAGATAGTTTCTATAGCATTTAATAGGCTGCCATGTCAGCAAAGGCCCATTCGCTTCGCTGAAAAAACAAGCCGAAACGCTGTTCCGGCTGATTTGTTGTGAGAGAAAAACATTGTTCCGGCTGAAAAACAAGCTGAAAAGTACAGATTATAAGAGAAGCGAACGGGACCAAAAAGTCTCTTGTGGCAAGTGATTCAGTGAGAAAAAGAGGAGGAAATTGTTTCTTCGGCTCAATGTCCGACGACGAAAGACTCGAGGGATCTATTGTTGGGGACGAAGGAGTCGTTTCTTCCACGAGGTTAGGTTCTTCCTCACCATGGATGCGCCCGCGCTTGGACGATCCTTCGCAGCTCGCCTCGCTTGCGCCCAATTATGACTGGATTTGCTTCTGTGCAAGTCCTCGGCTGGTCGGGACTAACCTCGTCGCACGCTCGCAAAGCGCTTGCGCTCGACATCGCACGGTCGGACCGCCCCCCCGGTGTAGCTATTGCACTCACCACCGTCTTTGGGGCGTCTGCTGTCACTCGCTCCTAGGCGCTTGTATGCCCCCGCTTTGTTCGTTTGTCGCATGTTCATAGGCCCCTGCGAACTCGCTGCCGACCTGGCACTGTCCGTCGTTGCCACACCGCAGGCTCGCAGGCCCTAGCTTTGTTCGCTGATGCGCGCTCGCTCCGTGTGCTGCCACGAGAGAATGGGGAAGAGAAAAGGAGAGAGTGTTGCTGTTTGGTTGAGGGTCCACTAAGCAAATGTATGAGCCGTGGGGTGTAACTTGGCTGCGTTTGGATGTAGATATTAAGGCTCAGGATTTGGAATTGACCTAAATGCCGTTGTTTGGATGGCTTAGACTTTGGAATTAGAAATCAACTTCAATGCCAAAGGGGTATTGGCTACACCTGCGCCCCTCAACCCGTAATACAGAGTCGTGACCCTTCATATCGGGGGGAATTGGTGATGAGCGTCGTGCTTCTTCTTCCTTGCGAATGGCACACCTCTTTCCCTTCTTCTTCGGAGCAGGCGCCCCCTCTTCTTCTTCGTTGCGGGCTGCCTGCGGCGTGTGCTCGTGCGAGCCATGTGGGCGAGCAACGACGCGAGGGAGGGTGCAGCTGACCTGAGCTGAGGCTACGGGAGATTCGCGGTCTGCAGCCTGTGGGCGCAGGAGATTCACGGTCTGCGGGCAGGTGGAGGTTTGCTGGTGTCGGGGCTGCGCGGCGCCATCCTAGAGGCGGCGCACGTCTCCTGCCTCGAGGACCGCTATGTGCTGGGCCCGCAGCTCGGGTACGCGCTGATTTGCAGTTTGCGGGCGTCGAGGCTGCGTGGCGCACGTCTCGTGCTCCGATCTTGTCACCGGCGAGGTGCTGGCCTGCAAGTCCACCGCCAAGGTCCACCGTGGCTGCGAGATCAAGCTCCCCCATCTGTGGTTGCGAGTGTGGGATCCCCCATCCGTCGCTGCAAGATCGAGCTTCCCCAGCGTTTCAGTTTCAATTCCAGAGCTGCTTACTAGGATTTCAAAAGCTAATTCAATGGTCATCCAAACAATAATATTTGAATTGTGGCTATATTCTAATACCATGGCTGCTTTGGTATTAAACCCAATTCAATTCCAACGGATCCTAAGTAGTTTCTTTAGACTATGAAAACCACTATGGTTTTGAGGTTGGGACTTGGGAGTGCCCTGATGAATCTATACAGGGCCAGAGTTGCACGTTTTTTTTTTTTTTGACGAAAACCGTTGGACTCGGCCTCTCTAGTTCCCTTGACCCATGGCATGGCTTGATCCTTTGAAAAGTTTGTTGAAGAGGCCCTAAGCAACCCTAACCAGGTAAGCCTGCCTCACCTACACCTCTTGTAGTCGCTTTCTGCGTGGCTATGACAAACAAACTGCGAATCGGTTTACCGAGTTTCGGTCAAAGGCGCAATCAAAACAGACGAGATAATGAAACCAACCGGAGCAGGTCACACTCACCCAACGGCCAGTCCACGCGAGGACTTCAGAAACCACGTCACTCGCGCGCCGTGCGGCCCAGCGGCAGCGAGCGCGGCAAAGAAGCCCGGTCAAATCCCCGATACGTGCACAAGGCACGCGTAGCACAAGCGCAGCAGAATGCGTCCCGACTCGTAGCCCCCTCGGCCAGCCGCCCACCCGCGCGTCCAGGCTCCGCCTGGTGCAGGCGCGTACTCTTGACGTTACGCCGCGCCCGTGCGGGCCGCGGCCCAACCGCGCCGCTCTCCTCGTCCCTATCCGCGGCTATCCCCTCCCTCACCGCTATAAATAGGCGCCGGCGCAACGGTCCGCTCCTTCCCCTCCTCTTGCTGGCCGCCCGCCTCGCGCCCACCCCAACTCGCGCGCACGGCCGCACCGCGGCACGCCGCGTCGCGTCGCGTCGCATCCCGTGCCCGCGAAACCCGGCGCCGCCGCAGCTAGCAGCGCCCGCCGTCGCGTCGGGGCAGGTAGCGGCGCCCATGGCGGTGGACGGCGAGGAGGCGTTCGAGGAGGTGGACCCGACGGGTCGGTTCGGGCGGTACGCGGACGTGCTGGGGCTCGGGTCCGTCAAGAAGGTGTACCGCGGGTTCGACCAGGAGGAGGGGATCGAGGTGGCGTGGAACCGCGTCCGGCTGCGCGCGCTGGCGGACCGCGACCCTGGCATGGTGGACCGCCTCCACGCCGAGGTGCGCCTCCTCCGCTCGCTCAGCCACGACCACATCATCGGCTTCCACAAGGTGTGGCTGGACCGCGACGCCGGCGTGCTCAACTTCATCACCGAGGTCTGCACCTCCGGGAGCCTCCGCGAGTACCGCCACCGCCACCGCCACGTCTCCGTCAAGGCGCTCAAGAAGTGGGCGCGCCAGATCCTGGAGGGTCTCAACCACCTCCACACCCACGACCCCTGCATCATCCACCGCGACCTCAACTGCAGCAACGTCTTCATCAATGGCAACAACGGCCAGGTATATAGATAGATTACATACGATCGCCTTGCTCATCCCCCCTCCCTCCGCTTTAATGCTTGATAAATCCTTTATTTCGTCAATTCTAGATATTTTCATCGGGTTAGATCGAGGCTATCTGCGCGATTCTGTTCTATTCAATTAGAACGCGATAAGGCCAAATTTTAGGATTTTTAATGGAAAAATAGGATATGCATACATACATACATATTAGATTTAAATTTTGAATTGGGTCCGTCATTTGGTGCTGGTTGTTGGCGCTGCTCGCTGCTCGAGATGTACACCGACCGACCGGCGAATTAGGGCACTAGGGGATTGGTGGCGGGCCCTATCTGCTGCTGCCCTTTCCGCTTCTTTTCTGTGACGACTTGTACCTCTCTCTCTCCGCGTCAAGCGAGCGAGATAGAGAGACCTGAAAGCATCTCACGAGCTGGAGCCCAAGATACGCTGCTCCTGTGCGGGCTGCGCCTTTGGAATAAAGGAGAAGCCTCCCAAGGGATGCACGCTGGGAGAGGCGCGCTTTAATTTTGCTACGCTGGTTATATTGACAAGATCGATAGCTTTCTTGTTAATCCAGCTAAGCTACCATAAGTAGCAGCAGCAAGCAAGGAGCCGTCGGCGCGCGGGCGCCGCGCGAGATTCCGCACGCGCTGCTTGCTTGCCTGCTTTTTTTGGTTGAAAAATGCCGCGTCTGTTAGATGTTGCTTTCGATCCATGTGACAAAATGATCGATGCGTGTTCGAACAGCGCTGCGATCGGGCTAAGCTAAATGCCTAAATCTAACCGTGTGCGCTGCACGCACGCGCAGGTGAAGATCGGCGACCTTGGGCTGGCGGCGATCGTGGACAAGACGCACGTGGCGCACACCATCCTGGGCACGCCGGAGTTCATGGCGCCGGAGCTCTACACGGAGACGTACACGGAGTCGGTGGACATCTACTCGTACGGGATGTGCGTGCTGGAGATGGTCACGCGGGAGGTGCCCTACGCCGAGTGCAGCAGCGTCGTGCAGATCTTCCACAACGTCACCCGGGGCGTCCCGCCCGCGGCGCTCAAGCGGCTCAAGGACCCCGAGCTGCGGGGCTTCATCGAGCGCTGCATCGGCCAGCCCCGGAACCGGCCCTCGGCTGCCGAGCTCCTGCAGGACCCGTTCTTCAACGGCATCCGCGGCGGGGACGACGACGACGTGCTCGCTGATGCCTGCAGCGTCGTCGACGGCGCGCCCGTGCCGCGCCCCAGGAGCTACGTCGACGACCTCGCCGGGCTCCGGCTGGACTGACACCGACCGTTCCTCCCAGCATTCTGCTTCTGTATTCAGGCGCGTGTTAACGTGTTTTTAGAATTCAGGGATTGCTGGTCTTAGTGAATTCCTGGCCGGCGAGCAATTGCAAGTGTGTATAGATTATTTATTTTACGTCTCCCCGGCGATTGACTAGTTTTCACTGTATATGTACCAATAATTTGCTGTTGGCATTGCGCGAGATGAAGCGCTGTATTTGACTTTGCGTGCTGATTCGTTCAAGCAGTGGTTGGTTCTTGGTTGGCAAACTTATACTACTATTTCCCTGAGCTGGATACTGCCATGGATGCCGGGATACTGAACAGCTGATATGGATGTAGTAGGCACGAGAGATGAGGGCAGCGCGCAGCGCCCTGGCCTGGATCTGCCGGGCGCCCTGGGGGCATGGACGTATGGCCGCAAGCCAAGCGTCGCCTACCTTCTTGAGCTTCTCGTCCCTTGACGCATCAGGAACATCATGGGCACCTGTGACTGCAAGATGCGGACAGACTGTCAAGCAATCCTGCACAGGGAGAGGCTGAATGTGACACTCAAAATCCAGGTCTCAATCCAGTTTACCACACGTTTCTGGGAATATATGGAGCCATCTACTTGTGGCCTTGTGCCCTTCTGGGCCATCGTCCTTACTGTTCTCCTTTGTTATCTTCATTCAGGCGACATCTGTCACCTGTGAAAGCTGAATGGCCTGTTCGTTTTGGTTTGTTTGACTTATAAGCCGTACTTTTTCAGCCAACGAATAATATTTTTCTCTCACACCAAATCAGCCAACAATACTTTCAGCTATGATTTATCAGTCAAACAAGTCCAAACAAAACGGCGAAAGTCTAAAGACTGAAGGGACCATCACGGCTTGCCTTTTGCAGGTCAACTGCGAAGGTTATGGCATTGATAACTAAACAATTGCATGATCAGGGCGATTTGGGCTGATCAGCTGGGAGCATACCGGGTTGGGTGTTTGCTGGACCAAGTTTGAGTGTTTGACTAGCTAACCTAAGGCAAATCCAAGAAAAGCTCGGGTGGGCCGATTAAATGGCTTGTAGTATATGTCTATGGGCTGAGGTCATGACTGGCCCATATAGAATTCAGGATAAACTTTAATACTGTCTATCTGATCCATATATCAAGGCCCTTTTTGGTCCATATAGAGTTAATAATTAGCTCCTTTGATTCAACTGGTCCAGCTGATAATCTAGCTAATTGTTAGATGAATAATCAACTAATGACTATCTCAAACAATTAGACTTCGGCTTCTCTTAAAACAATTTGTGCCAGTTTGGCAGGACTTTGGCTTCTCTTAAAACAACTTTGGCTTCGGCTCCTTTTGTAGAGCAGATTCTTTGGTGACGCTAAAGTCATGTTACAAAATGTTTGACAAAAACTTCTTTAGTGGTAGTTTCATAATAATTTATGTGAAGTTGTGAGCATGGAGCCGAGAGAAACAAGCATATTTGGCAAATTGCAAATAAGACATGAGTGAGTGTATGTGGATTGGTCTCATATTGAAAGCTTGTTATATCAAGAATTATGATGTGAGATTTTGTATCCATCAAAGGACAATGACTTGGTTACTTAACCATGTTGATGGTGTTCATATCCAAGAAAGGAAGAAATTAAAGCTTGATTGATCTCAAAATTTATATCAAAGAAGATATTCAAGCGAGATTTACAATATTGAAGAAACGGTTTTTAATGTGTGATCAAAGTTGGTTCAAATCATTATGTGGGTTGTGATGGCTTGAAAGGTGAAGATAGCAAGAAAAGGGCTTCGATGGACTAAGCAAAGGTGAAGGGCAGGCGGCGGCTTGAGCGCTAATGGACTAAGGCTAAGGTGAAGGAGAGAGTACTTGCATTGAGTCTTGCACAAGTTCAGCTATGGGAAGTAATATCATGAGGAGGATCAAATCATTGTTGTATCAAAAGTGTACGTGACTTAAATCCACGAATGGAACTCACATATGTTTTGAAATGGTTTAAGTCACAAGCTCAAGGTGGACTTGCTCAAGAAGAATGAATCAAAGATGGTTGCAACCCATTTGATTCGGAATCCAATCTAGTTGAAAACAAACAACTGCCCGATGGAAAAGTCAGATGAAAGGCAAGGAGTGTAAACCACGTACGAGCGAGCATAGAAAGCGAAATGTTTTGTAGCGAGTCAAGCGTAATACGATCAAAAGGAAATGGGGTCAATGCCTCAAACAGTTCCCTAGAGGGGGCCCCGGGTTGAAAGAGCGAGCTACATTCTTTCATAGAAGACAGAAAAAAAGAAAGTTATATTATGAAGAATGACATATGAAGACTATTGCAATCTCAAGAGGTTGACATAGATTTTATCTTTGATCCTGAGTATAGGTATGACGTACTATCAAGAGGGATGCCACATTGAGTGTGTTGACAAGTCTCGATGCTCTAACTATCTAAACCCAAGTGCTAACCATAGAGTGACACTTGTCACAACACTTGCACATTGTGGTCTTGGAGCTTTTTTGTTGGGACGGTTAGCCCTCTAAATAAGCTTTCCGAAAAATCCAAGATCGTCGAAATCGGAGTTGGGAGTGAGAAGTTACGGTTGTTTTAGCTAGGCTGTATTGGAATTTCCGAGCTGGTCGGATTTTTGAGGAAATTTCTGAACAGGGTGCTCTAGTTAGCTTGCAGTTTTTGATTTAGAATTTTGAACCCTGGTAGGAATTTTTGATCTGTTGACTTCACTCACGAAACATTGTGCACATATTCAGAATCATTTTGGGGTTAGAAATTTTGAGCCATGTTGGAATTTCTGAACCTGCGCATAAAAGTAACATAACGATCAATTTTTGGGGCTTGGGTATTTATATCTCTTCTTCCCCTTACTCCATTCAGCTCTTTAGAACATGAAGAACACATCCATAGAGCCCAAAGAAGCTCTTCCATCTCCGTCTTTGTGAGGATTAATTGATTCTTGTAAGATCTAGAGAGTTGGGTTGAGAGATTAGGTGTTTGAGAGCAAAAGAGAGCAATCCCACCCTTGAGCGCTCGTGGAGCTTGTTCATCATTTGGTGAAACATTTGTTACTCTTGGAGTTTTGCTCCTAGATGTCTTTTTGGTTGCTAGCGAGTCGCCAAGGTCTGGTGCACGACCGAAAGTTTGTGCGGGCTTGATCTTGCCTCTGAAATAGGAAAAAGGTCATCTTAGTAGAGAGTGGAAAGAGGTCGATTTGGACCCAACTAAAGTTGACCTTTGTTGGGTCACTCACGGCTTCCACAACAGAGACGTACAACTCACTTGGTGAAGCCCTGTAACACCTCTGGTGTTACGAGCTTGCTTAGCACCGAGATTTAGGCTCAAGAGGAATTAGCCAATCAAGTTTTCGGGTTTTAAAAAAAGTTATAACGCACGTGAGATGATAAACAAATTCTATTGCGACTCACTTTTGTGGTTGAGAAAAATCAAATAAATATCTAAGTTAACTTACTCAGTGCGTAAATGCGCTAATGAAAATCCTAATAAGAAAACAGGAAAAGTAGTTTTAATTGTTTGGCACGAAAAGCAATTTCTATAAACAAGAATAAAACATAACTTGTATTTAGTACTTAAATAAAAATTGAAGTACAAGTTTAGTAGATGGAAATGCAACATTAACTTTTGAAAAATAGATATTGTTAACTAGTGTTTTGGGAGCTCAAAAATCAAATTTGACTTTAAGATGAGCTCTTTTTGTTAAGTCGGCAAACACTTGAACTATTGTTAAAATGCCATTTTTGGTGAATTATATTGAGCAAAATAGTTAAATGGTGCTTAAATATTTTGCTCCTACGGGTTAGTATAAGGTATGGACTATTGTATGAGATATTTGTTAGTTGAAAGTAACAAGGTTTAGACCTTTTAAAAATTAAGGCAAAAGTGCTAGGGAATGTTAGTTCTAACTGAACCCTTGAATTCCCTAGGTCTGAAATGATAATAGACAATGCCATGTTGGCATTTAAAATTCAACAAAAATGATTAATCAATACATTCATGTTTTTGTACAGTTGGTTGCATCAAGACGAGCACTTGGGCATGGTGTAGGTTATAGCCATGTTGGTTGTCACCCGTAACTCGTAAAAATTGCCCAAACTACGTTGGAATGCGTTGTGAACCATGTCGTTGGCTCTCTGTTCGTGAACTGGCATTTCAGTGATGAGCTTACCTTGGCACTCGTTTATCTTTCCCCCTAGCTGCTATGTGATCATAACGATTATTTCGGTAGGAACGGGGTAGTGTTGGCTTGAAACTAGCATAAGTGGTTGAACCTTAGACGAGATAATTAGCTGTTTTTGTTTAGCTTTAAAATACGTGCACGACGCAGTTTGCTGCCACTTGGCCTAAGCCATGGTCACCATGCGCGTGGGCGCTGCTGGCGTCGGGCTCGCGTCTTGGCCGGGCTACGGCGGTTGGCCAGCTTGCGTTGGTTGGCGCCGCACAGCCTTGCCCTGGGCGATGGCCGGCCCAGCTGGCCGTGGCCTAGACCCGCTGCTGTGTGCGGGCCGCGCTCGCATGATCAGCCACCGAGCCTTGCCGAGGTTGCAGCTGCTTCGCTTGGTCGACGTGGCGCTCACCCCGCCCCTCGTTCTACCTACCGCGCCAGTCTATGCCTTGCAGCCCTGCCGCCGTGTCACAATGGTGGCTCGGCCGCAGAAGCGATGGGACGCTTCCCTGCCTTGCCTTGCCCTGCTAGACGCCATGGAGAGCTCGGCTCGGGTTCGGTCACTCCGAGTTAAGAGCATCGCGCCAAGTCTCCTATTCGTCCATCGCGTGGACTTGTTCGTGTCGCAACTAGTGACCAGGGTTGGCCGTCTTAGCCTTTCGCCCGCTCGCGTGTGCTTCTCCACGGCAGGGCATGACCAGAGCTCGCCTTTTCCGCCCTGCAATTCGTTTAGTTCGGTCCTCCACAAACCGATTCTTTGCACTAGTAAGTGGCACTAGAGGCCAACTAGGCACTCCATCTTTCCCACCCCGGCCAAGAG